TTGAGCTACTGCATCCATAAGTATAGGTCAAGTTCATCAAATTGCAGCAGATTACTCTTTTTTTCCTCTTCTTTCTTCCTCTAGTTGAGTTCTGATCATCCAGCCATCGAAGCCAGGTCAAATGGGTGCTATCTGCAAGTATGGGTGTTCTTGTGTATCTTCCCTCACTTCCTATCAGCAGGACGCTTCACTATCTGCTCTAGTCCTCTGTGGCATGTCCCTGTCCCTAGGTCCAGGAGTCCCTAGGTCTTGCCATACTTCTGGCCATCCAAGTCTCAATACACAGGTGGATGGGAGTCTGTTGAACGTGGTCAGACGTAGCTCACAACTTCATTACTGTTTTTTGCCCACTTCCCCTTATCGGTAGACCAACGTGGTCACCAGGAAGACCACATGTCTGCTTATGTATTCCCCTTGAGTCTCAGTCTTGGAAGGGGGTTTGCCCTGAGGGGACCTGACCACTTGACTTGATGGCTCCCTGGCGAACAACTTGCTTATTCTTGTAGGAGTCATTTGGACTGCCATTATTATTTTTGAGTTTTCCTGCTGGTCTTTCTTTCAAGAAGTATCTTCTGTTCTTCTAGCAGCTCCAGGCTGGTCTGCTTGTCCTTTCATCAACTTGTACTCACATATGAGCAATTCTTGGTCTGTTCCACAGTCTGCCCCTGGGCTTATTTTGACTGATGATACAGAGCTTTTCTACCATCTCTTCCCACAACTTGATTTCTGTATATTCAATCTGGTGATGTTCATGTGTATAATCATCTTTTATGTTGTTTAAGAAGGCATTTGCAATGAACAAGTCATTGTTCTTGCATAAATAATTCTATCATGCGATCCCCAGCATCATTTCTATCACAGAGGTTATATTTTCCAACTCCTGATCTTTCCTCTTTGTTTCCAGCCTTTGCATTCCAATCACCAGTAGTTTTCAACACCTCTTCTTTTGTGGGGTGGGGAAAGAGGGGTCAAACCACTTTATTGCATTTGTGGGGTGAAGGTAGGACAATGCCGTCTGACGAGCACTGTCCAGCCTGAATCTCCTGGACCTCTCACTTGCTAAAAAACAATATCATCACATCTTGATTGTGTGTTTGCTCCATTTCAGATTGAAGAAGTTGGTAGATTGTTCCATTTCATCATTATTGACTTTAATGCTTGGTGCATAAATTTGAATGATAGTGGTATTAACTGGTTTTCCTTGTAGGCATATGGATAATATTCTGTCACAGACAGGATTGTACTTCAAGATAGATCTTGATATGCCCTTTTTGATAGTGAATTTGCCACTATTCTGCTTCCATTTGTCATTCCCGGCATAGTAAACCATTTCGTTGTCAGATTAAAAATGGCCAGTAATGTTCATTTCAGCTCACTAATGCCTAAGATATGATGTTTATGTGCTACATTTCATTTTTGACAATTTCCAATTTTCCTGGTTTCATTCATTGTACATTCCATGTTCTGATCATTAAAGGATGTGTACAGCTGTTTCTCTTTGAGTTCTGCCTCACCAGCAACTGAAGGTCCCGAAGGCTTTACTCCATTTGCGTTATCATGGTCAACTCTACTTAGAGAAGGCAGTTCTTCCCCAGTTATATTTTGAGCACTTTCCAACCTGAAGGGCTCATCTTCCGGCACTGTATCTGACATTATTCTGGGGCTCTTCATCATGTTTCAATAATTGATATTCTGATACTGACAGTGCTCCACTTCTACTTGTAAGGTTTTCAGTGACTAAATATTTGGAAGTAGTCTGTCTCTCTTTCTTCCTAGTCTGCCTTCATCTGGGAGCTCATCTTAAACCTGTCCTTCATGGGTGACCCTGCTGGTATTTAAAATACCTGTGGCATAGCTTCCAGAATCACAGCAATATGCCAGCTACCACAATACGACAAACTGGCAGACAAGTGGTTTAGAGATGATCTAATCCAACCTCCATATTACATGAATAGGGGAAACTGAGGTCCAGATAAACCACATAATGTGTGGGTTGAATTTAGGCATTGGTAAGTCTTCTCTTTTAAAGACATGACTGTAAACTCTGGAAGTCGAGAAGACAGAGGACAAGAGCAGTGCCCAGTTCATCTGATGGTGAGCTCCCTAAGGTCAGGATTCTTGATGTATCTAATTTTCTTCCCCAAGGCTTAGCTTTGTACCTTCACTAAGAACAGGTAGACTGAATACATGAGTGGTAAAACCTGAGACCACTTCACTGAGCAATGGGAAGTACACCTGATCTTACGCCTGATGGGAGGTGATACTATGGAACTGTCTATTTTGTCCACTACACTCCCACACCCCTTACTTTTCTTCTTTCTTTCTTTTTTTGAAACCTTGCAGACTTTGAGTCTCTAGCTCCCAATATTTTAGTAAGATCAGAGTCTCTTTGAGCTCCAAGAAAACTGAGAGATGATCTAATCCAACCTCCATATTACATGAATAGGGGAAATTGAGGTCCAAATAAACCAGGTAATGTGTTCCAGGTCACAAGGTTAATTTATGGTAAGGTACTTCTAATGTTCTTATGATTGGCGTGATAGAATAATAGCCTAGACTTTAACTTTGTATATAATTCTACTAAAATTTTATTATATTTTGAAAAGATTATATGTTCCATTGTTCAAAATCCAAAAGACACAAAAGAGAATGTCACCCACCTTCCCACATACCCAGCCATCCACATCTCTCCCTAAGGGGAACCGTTGCTACCGGTTTCTTTTGTATCCCTTAAGTGATGGTCTCAGCATGTATGGGAAAAAATTAAATGTGTGTGTATGTATCGTCTTGTTTTTTTCCTTTAGCCCTTTGGTTGGATCAGTTAGCCAAACATCACTACCAGGGAGGGCTCTGGTTATTCTTTCATGCTGTCTCTCAGCCAAATTCTTTTCTTTGTTTTTCTGGTCTCCTCTTTTTGCACTGGTCTTTCCTTGACTCCACACTTGCATTTCAGCCATGAATCTGGTGGATTCAGTCCATCCTTTATATGTTATGAGATTTATCCTCTAATGCACTATGCTGATTGCTTTACTCTCCTGCAAAAATCCTGCCATTACCTCCCCTCTTGTTTTCTGAAGAAAGTCCTAGCTTTGTTGCTTAAAGTTTATGGCTCACCCCAACCTTCTAGTCCCGTTCTACTATGCAAAAATGTGTATGCATTCCCCATGCCTTGGAACTTATCATTTTCATGACTTAAGAAGCTTTGGTGACGCAGTGGGTTAAATGTTGAACTAACCACAAGATTGATGGTACAAACTCACCAGTCACTCCTTGGGAGACAGATGAAGCTGTCTGCTCCCACAAAGAATATAGTCTTGGAAATCCCACAAGGCAATTCTACTCTGTCCTGTAGGCTCACTGTGAGTCAGAATCCTTCCCCCAAATCCTTTTTTCCCTTTCTTAATTCTGCTCCTCCTTCAAAGACCTTTCCAAAGTCACCTCTTCCTTGAAGCCTTCCTTCCTTCCCTTAGATTCCAGCTGGAAATTGCCTCTCTCTTTCTGGACCAGCCATAGCATTGACTCTGTTCTTTGTACTGAAATGATATGTTTTTAGCTGATACTCTCTACTAGACTGAAGATTTAATGGGGACAGAGATTGTGTTTGTTTTATACATGTTTGCATCCTTCACTTAACCAAATCAGTATTTGTATCTCCCTATAACGTAACAAGACTATTGTGGATGAGCAGTTAGCAGAGTTCATAGTATTATGTCTCTGTTGAGAGGCACAAGTTAAACAGAGACTTGGCACTTACCTGTCCAAGAAATCATAAGTAGGATAAGGAAAAGGACTTAAGCCACTCAAACTGCTGTTTTTGAGACTTTTATATCCCAAGTTGCATTTTTTCTCTCTAGCATGTAACTCACAGACAAAGTCTGGTTCACCTTTGTATCTCCCATGACTGCTAGAGCAGGATATAAAGAAGAAGCAAACAGAAAAGCACTCAACAAAAATCTCAGTTGAATAGAACTTCCCATTAACCTAATTGGTTTAGGTTCAACTGACATCATTTACCAGCTGCCTAGAATGGTAATTGTCCTTCAGAGTCTAGTTCATAAAGATTCTCTCCATTTTCCTTTGGGAACCATGAAATTCTTTCAAGGATGACTCTTGGGGTCTCCAGGAGCCTTTCAGCTAGAACAATGCTCCAAATGTGGTCCCTAGACCTGCGGCAGCAGCAACAGTATCACCTGGGAACTTGTTAGCAATGCAAATTTTCAGGCCCTAACTCAGTCCAGAAATTCTGGGTTGAGGCCCATCCATCCATACTTAAAAAAAACCCTCAAAGTGGTTCTGAGCCAGAGCTGCAGAGGACTTCTGCAAGTCCAACATCTCCCCATTTCCACACTGGACCACTTCTTTTATTCAGGAGTTCAAGGGGGAGTTAGAGCAGCCACTAGCATGCTCTACAACAGCACCCTAACAGTTAAGAGGACTGTGTCTGTCCATTTCAGGTCCCTGAGAGGCTTCTTCATTCTCTAAATTGAACATACCTAATTGTTCTTCCTCTTGCATTTAGTCACTCATGGAATAGTCAGTGTGCCTAAAAATTCACTTGGCCTGTGCTGAGTAAGACAAGCATGGCATGACATTTTGTTGCCTGAGAGTGCATATCTATGTTTTAAAAAAGAAAGAAAGAAAAGTTGTTTTCATCAGGCAATGAAAGAGGTAGGCACCTTAAGAAATAATTGACTTATTGTATCTTTGTGTAGCTGTGTATAATATTGACCATATGACATTCAGTTGCATTAAAATTTACATAATTTCTGAGAAACAAGCAAAGCTCTGCATTTCAGGGTTATTGATAAGTAGACCACCCAGCCTTAACCTCTGGGTTGCATGGACATGCAGCCATCGTGATTTATATATTTTAAGGCTTCAAATGCTTCAGTGTTACCCTGGAAGTCCAAAGGACTGGCCTGAAGGTCAAGGTGGTTGACTTAATACATTTTGCTCCATCTGCCCAGTCCATTTTCTTCAGGAAATTTCCTGCATCTGATTTAAAATACTTCAGAGAATAGTCTCTGCTCCCCTGTTGTTGATGGGGAGATAGAGCTGGCCCTTTCCTGTTTTTCTTTAGGCAGGAAGGGAAGGTACTTGCTCAAGTAGATGCCTATATGCCTGTGGAAAAAGTGGTGGAGGTATTTCTGGAATCTCTCACCGACAAAGGCATAGATGATAGGGTTGACACAGCAGTGGGTGTAGGCGACCACTTCTGTCACCGCCATGGCCAGGTCCAGTTGTTTGCTCTGCTCACAGTTGTTCTCAGGGAGGATGACTTGAAAAGCAGAAAGAAGGAGAACCAGGCTGTAAGGTGTCCAGAAAAGGAAAAAGACCACCATGATGACAAAAATGAGCCGGATGGCCTTGTACTTTTGTCTGCTCGGGCATTTCAGCAGTGCTTTAATAATTCCCGAGTAACAGATAGCCATAATGAGAAGAGGGAGAGCAAGACCCAAGATATTCATCCTCAAAGCTTGGAAACGTTTCCAGGTATCTTCTTCATCCTCTGGGTAATGAGGACTGCAGACAGATTGTTCAACATCCTCTTGGAACTCATGGAAAATAAATTCAGGAAGGGCTGCAAGCCCTGCCAGGACCCAGGTAAAGATGCTGGTTATGATACCAAAGGTGACAGTTCGGGTTCGCAGGGCAAACACAGCATGGACAATGGCCAGGTACCTGTCGATTGTCAGCAGGACGATGAAAAAGATCTCACTGTACAAGCCTATGTAATAAAGTCCTGTGAGGAACTTACACATGCAGTGGCCAAAAACCCACTCGTTCCATCCAACATAGTGAATCCAGAAGGGAAGAGTGACTAGAAAGAGTAAGTCCGAAATTGCCAAGTTGAGTAGGTAGATGTTGGTCATAATTCTGAGCCTTCTGTATTTTGTGAGAATCACCACCACCGTCACATTGCCCAACAGGCCAACAATGAACACCAGGGAATACAGTGGGGGTAGAAACTGGGCCTCCAGATCCTTAATGTTGACTTTTTCACAGGGACTTCCCTCGGAATAGTCATAGGGTGTGGTCCCAAAGACCTTAAACTTGGTGTCAGTCTCATTTATCGAGGCAGCCATTTGGTTTGTCCCTATGATAGGAGAAAGACAAGTCCCACAATTAGATATAACCACATTTATGAAAGACAATGGCTAATAGATTCATTTACCTAACAAAGATGCCATGTGTGATAAACAGCTTTTAGAGGTTCCTTAGCATTGTGAAGTTTCTAACTTCATCACAATTCATGATGGGATAATGGCAAAGACAGGGGATCTTAATTTCTGCAAACATTTGAAGGAATACAAAATAATTTGGATTTCTGACTATAACTCATTGAATATTTACAGTAGTGACCATCATCATTATAATTACTCTGTTAAGGAATTTTGCATTTTATATTTGACAGTTTATATATTACTTTAAAATATCTTTATTGAGTTAGAAACCAATACTTATAATAGTAATAGTGATGATGATGATTACAAATAACTATCCTTCTCCAGGGCCGTGTTATGACGTGTTGTTTTTCATAGCTTAAGTTAATTGAACCTTGAAGAATTTTAGTAACTTTTTCAAAATTCCCTAACAAGGATGCTGAGGCTAGATTTTTCAGCCTCCCACCTATTTCCAATTCTCTCCATCACTAGATTCAAATGTATGATAAGCATTCGACTGGGAACCACAAGGTCCATGGTTCCAGCTGTCAGCCGCTCCATTGGAGAAAGATGAGGTTTTCTGCTCCCACGAAGATTTAAAGTCTTGGAATCCCATGCACTTACCCCTTGTGCCCAACCCCCTGTGACTGGGGAGCGTTCTTAGAGGGGTGTTTGCTTTTGGTACAAGACTGACTTATCTCAGCATTATCAGGAGCTGAAAAGGAGACCAGATTGGGTTAATGGTGCTTGTAATTAGAATTAGGATTGTTGCTGTTGTTAAGTGCCATCAGCTTGGCTCCAATTCATAGCGACCCTGTATAGGGTTTCCAAGGAGCGGCTGGTGAGTTTGAAGCGCTGACCTTGCGGTTAAAACCAACCTTGCAGTAGCTAATAGTAGCTGTCTTCAGCCTTTACATTTAAAATTATTTTTGTTGTTAAGTGCCGTCAAGTTTGTTCTCACTTATAGCGAACCTGAATAGAGTCGAGGTGGGTAAATCAGATGATAGCAATTTATGTTGAGAGGATCTGGTTAAGTACAAACAGAGGGAAGTAACACCCTTCCTTTGACCTTAGGGGGATGGATGAGAAGAGAAACAGTGGTTATAGAGGGACAAAATTACACTATCGCCCCCACCCAAGATTTCACTTTAGGTGAAGAGTATGAAGGACTTTTTGTTAAGCTGAAGGGACCACCACCGAGACATTTCTATGCAGGAAGCTCCCTACTGCATGAGGTAACAAAAGGTATGACTGTATATGTATAACAGACAATGCTCAAAAAACAAAACAAAACAAATAGTTGTAGAATGGAAATGGATTATTGGTCAGCTCTCTTGTTTTTCTTTTTTTTGTGGTTTTTAAAGTTGTAAAATATTTACTGTTGCTTTATTACCTTACAGTTTTAAATGGTACAAGTGGAAACGGCTGGGATAGTTTTCTAAAATGCAATTGGATTGAAACCAAGACAAATGACAACATGAAGACTTTGCTCATCAGAACTTGAAACCACAAGTTGAAACGTGACTGAGAAGACTGAAGTGGAAACTACACTAGGAAAACTGTCTGAAGTTTGTTTCATCATTTAGAAATGCTGGTCACTCTTCAGCCTTGGGACCTAGACTGCAGGTGGAGGGGAAGGACTTCTTACAGGCTTGCCACCTGCTCTGGTTGGTACCTGCTGGCCCTTCAGATGGCTGCTATATGCGTCTCCATGTAGGTCAAGTGGACACCAAGTACCAGGAGGCCTCCAAATTATACATGCCTACATTTTCCCTTCTCCTCCTGCAGTTCATAGTGCTTCCAGAAAATTCTGTTGTTGCCCTTGAGCCCTTCTTGGGAGGCTCTGGTCTTTCAGCCTGTGTGTTTACATATCTTGATAGGAAGCATTTTTCCCTATCCCTGAGTGAACTCCAGAGGGCATCTCCACAGTGCAATAATTTAACCATCTTATGCATTTAAAATAGAGACTACTTCCCTGCACCCTCAACCTCTACCCATCTCATGCAAACCAGAGCCTCTCTTAACGAACATCAAATTCAGCTTATAGAGGCTTGTTGAACTGAAAACGTACTCCAAATAAAACCATTACGCTGAAACTCCAAATCTAGTTTTGATCATCAGACTGCGCTGTGCCTCTGAATGGAAGAGATACTCATTTCTCTTGGATCCAGTAATGCAGGTGTGTTCAAAAACAATCTTTGTACGATAGCTTTGTTTCTCTTTTTTAATTTTCCTGTTGCCAATAACCATCTGGGGAGGGAAAAACGACAGTGAAGAAAATGGTGTCTGAGTTCTTGATGTTTACATTCTTAACTGGCAACCACTGTGGGATAATAATCAACAACACAAGAGTTAATTTGCCTTTTGTGCAAGTAGGCCAGTCATTTGGCATATACTTGTATGCTTACTTGTCCTCATGACTTTGCAAGGTAGGGTTTTGTGTCCTCATTTCAAAGATGAGTAAACAGAGGCTTGGCATGCTCAGTCACTTGCTCAGACTATTCTGTGTCCTTGCTTTTACGGTTCCATTTAGTGAGGATCTTCCCACCTCCTTACCCCCAACGTTCCATGAGCGCTTGTAATCAATGTTCGTATACATGCATGTGTTGTTGTGTACCATCAAGTCAGTTCGGACTCAGAGTGGCCCTAGAAGACAGAGTAGAACTGCCCCATATGGTTTCCTAGGCTTTGGTCTTTATGAGCTCGGATCACTATAGTCCTGCAGAACGCCAGGTTTTCATTCCTACAGAGTGCCTAGGAGTTTGAACCACTGACCTTAGGATTAGCAGCTGAGTATATGTGTGTGTATAGTATCTTTCTGGTTCCATTTTTTAAATATACACAAATTTTGAATCCGTTTTAAATTTAGTTTGATACAGGGCATGAAGCACATGTCTTTCATTCACTTCTTTCTAAATGGTTGTCATATTATTAGTAATCCAAACTCTCTTCAAGAACCACTCACAGCTATTACAGACTTATTAGCTTATTTACATAGGTTATCTAATTATGTAACTGTCTTTAATCACTTATTTCCAAGTATGTATGTATTATTATTAGTGTTATTTGTTCTATTAGATAAACTTCAGGATCACTTGGTCAATTATGTATGGAAGCATAATTTTGACAGTAATTTTAAGTACAATTATTGTTAGGTGATTTAGGAAGAATTGATAACTTTATAATATCAAGTTTTGTATATCTAGGAAAATGCTGTGTCTCTATTAAAGCCTATAGTTATTCTAGGAGTCCTACTAGTATAGTGGGTTCAGTGCTTGGCTACTAACCTAAAGGTCAGCAGTTTGAACCCACCAGCCACTCTGTGGAAAAAAGAATTGTCAGTTTGCTGCCACTCAGCAGCTGTAAGTTTTTGGTTTCGTATAACTATTTTAGTTTTGCATAATTTTTACTAAGTTTATTTTTAGCTTTTTAATTTTTGTGGCCACAGTGAATGAGCTAGTTTCCCCTAATATGTTTTCTAATAAATTATTGGGATAAAGCAGAGAAAGTTATTATATTATTTTTAAACAGATTGTCTTAAATGATTTTTTAAGTTTCTGGGAGTCCTGGTGTGACGCTGTGGGCTAATGGCCTGTACTGCAAAGTCAGTTTGGACCACAAGGTTGCCAGTTCAAGCTTACCAGCTGCTCCTTGAAACCCTATTCAGGGCCACTATGGGTTAGAACTAAGTCAGTGGCATTTAACAACAACTACACCAACCTGGAATTTCTGAGGCTAGACATCTTTATGGGAGTAGAAAGCCTTTCCTTTCAGTGAGCAGCTGTTGAGTTCAAACTGCCAACCTGTAGTTAGTAGCCCAGTGGAGCTACAGTGCTCCCATTTGGTTTCGGTTGTTGTTGCTAAGTGCCTTTGACTTGGTTCATTGTGACACTGTATGGGGTGGATTTGAACTGTCCACTTTTGACAGTTGACTTTTGACAGTTGACAACTTTTTGTCAATTGCTTATCCTACAGCACCATACCAGGACTGTTTATTGTTGTTGTTAAGTGCCATGAAGTTATTGCTGACTCATAGCGATTCTGTATTAGATTTCCAAAGAGCAGCTGGTGGGTTTGAACATTTCTAAATTTTAAAACAGTGCTTATCCTACAGTGCCTCACCAGGACTCCATTTGATCTTTGTTGTTGTTGCTTGTTGTTGTTAAGTGCCATCGAGTTGATTCCGACCCATAGCAACCCTGTATAGAGTTTCCAAGTAGTGACTGGTAAGCTTGAACCACCGACCTTGCAGTTCAAACGGCTTTGCAGTCTGGTGCATTAACCCACAGCGCCACACCAGGACGCCTTTTGATCTTTAGAGGGTAAGGAAATTAATCTTTTTTGAGTACAGACCTATTTGATGTTCTTCTATAGACACTTTAAGCAGTCCTGGTGGTGCAAATTGCTAATTGTTTGGTTACTAGATGAACTATTGGCTGTTTGAACCCACCCAGAGGTTCCAAAGGAGAAACACCTGACAACCTGCTTCCATAAATATTGCAATTTAGAAAGCCTTTTGGGGAAGTTCTGCTTCGTTCCATGGAGTCCCTCTGAAGCAGACTAGACTGAATAGCACCCAACAACAGCAAGGCAAATCTGGATACTACATCTAGTGCAGAGTCCAGTCCAACAGAGTGTTTCTGCAGCGCTGGGAATGTTCTGCATCTGTGCTGGTCAGATACAGCAGCCACTAGCCACATTGAGCACTTGAAACGGTGTGATGCAACTGAGATTCTGGAATTTTAATGCTCTTAATTTTAATTCATTTAAATGTAAATAGCCATATGGGGCTAAACAAAAAACCAAACCCACTGCCTTCATGTCAATTCTAACTCGTAGTGAAACCTACCATACATGGTTTCTGAGTCTGTAGCCTAGTGATTACGTATTGGGCTGCTAACCAAAAGGTTAGTAGTTCGAAT